TAAAATTAATAATAAGAAAAAGAAACAAAAGTAATGCATTAAGAAAAAAACAAAATAAGTTAATTTAGTAAAAAAGTAAACGCTTAGATTAAAGATTCCTATAATGTTGCATACGTGTTTCTGTCATAATAATCAATATTTGATATTTTTCAGCCATTGAAAACTTCACGAAATAAATACAAATTCAACCAAGATTCGTCATCTTAGCTTTTTGAAGGTAAGCGATATAAAGCAAGAGCTTAATAATTTTTGCGTTCATTTTAGCACACTATAAATTTGAAAGAAAACAAAAGAAATCCGCAATATGAATAAAGTAGCAAACATAATTCTGTATGGATTGTAAAAAAATCGCATTTAAGTATGAAAGCAATGCGCAAAATACAATAAAATTTAAAATTGAACGTAAAATTTATAAGCAGGGGAAAAATAAATGCTCGAAGAAGGCGAAAAAATAACGCGAGAGAAAAAGAAAATATAAAGTAGATTGGGTTAATTAAGTAAAAAAACAAATTTAGCGCGTAGAATTAATACATAAAAAAGTTAACGTGAAAAATAAACGTTAAGAAGAGAAGCGGAAATATAGGGTATTAAGAAAAAAAAAATTGCAAAATGTGCGGTAAACGATAGCGAAATAAATAAGTGCAATGCGTAAAATTAATGATAAGGAAAAGAAACAAAAGTAATGCATAAAGAAAAAAACGTAAAATAAGTTAATTTAGTAATAAAGTAGACGTAGAAAAAAGTAAATTAGGCGTATAGAAGTAAGCCATGTATAAGAAAAAGAACGCTTTAAGTGTAAAAGCAATGCGCAAAATACGATAAAATTTAAAATTTGAACGTAACTTTTTTCAGCAGGGAAAAAATAGCGCAAAATAAAAAGAAAATATAAAGTTGATAGTGTTAATTAAGTTTAAAAAAAAAAACAAATTTAGCGTGTAAAATAAATACATAATAAAGTTAACGTGAAAAATAAACGCTTAAGAAGAGAAGCGTAAATATAGGGTATAAAGAAAAAAATATTATAAAATGTGCGGTAAAAGATAGCGAAATAAATAAAAGCAATGTGTAAAATTAATGATAAGGAAAAGAAACAAAAGTAATGAATAAAGAAAAAAACGTAAAATAAGTTAATTTAGTAATAAAGTAGACGTAGAAAAAAGTAAATTAGGCGCATAGAAGTAAGCCATGTATAAGAAAAAGAACGCTTTAAGTGTAAAAGCAATACGCAAAATACAATAAAATTTAAAATTGAACGTAACTTTTTTAAGCAGGGAAAAAATAAATGCTCGAAGAAGGCGAAAAAATAACGCGAGAGAAAAATAAAATATAAAGTAGATTCTGTTAATTATGTAAAAAAACATATTTAGCGCGTAGAATTAATACATAAAAAAGTTAACGTGAAATATAAACGCTTAAGAAGAGGAGAAGCGTAAATATAGGGCAAAAAGAAAAAAAATTGTAAAATGTACGGTAAAGGATAGCGGAATAAATAAAAGCAATGCGTAAAATTAATAGTAAGAAAAAGAAACAAAAGTAATGCGTAAAGAAAATTGATAAAATTAGTAAATCACAAAACCTTACGCCCTTACAAAATGCTTAAAGATTCCTATGATATTGCATACGTATTTCTGTCATAATAATCAGTATTTGATATTTTTCAGTCACTGAAAACTTCACGAAATAAATACAAATTCAACCAAGATTCGTCATCTTAGCTTTTTGAAGGTAAGTAAGATAAAGCAAGAGCTTAATAATTTTCGCGTTCATTTTAGCACACATTTATATAAATTTTAAAGAAAACAAAAGAAATCCGCAATATGAATAATGTAGCAAACATAATTCTGTATGGATTGTAAAAAAAATCGCATTTAAGTATGAAAGCAACGCGCAAAATACAATAAAATTTAATATTGAACGTAACCTTTTTAAGCAGGGGAAAAATAAATGCTCGAAGAAAGGCGAAAAAATAACGCGAGAGAAAAATAAAATATAAAGTAGATTGTGTTAATTAAGTAAAAAAACAAATTTAGCGTGTAGAATTAATACGTAACAAAGTTAACGTGAAAAATAAACGCTTAAGAAGAGAAGCGTAAATATAGGGTACAATGAAAAAAAAATTGTAAAATGTACGGTAAAGGATAGCGAAATAAATAAAAGCAATGCGTAAAATTAATAATAAGAAAAAGAAAAAAAAGTAATGCATAAAGAAAAAAAAACGTAAAATAAGTTAATTTAGTAAAAAAGTAAACGTAGAAAAGAGTAAATTAGGCGCATAGAAGTAAGCCATGTATAAGAAAAAGAACGCTTTAAGTATAAAAGCAATGCGCAAAATACAATAAAATTTAAAATTTGAACGTAACTTTTTTCAGCAGGGAAAAAATAACGCAAAAGAAAAATAAAATATAAAGTTGATAGTGTTAATTAAGTTTAAAAAAAAGAAAAATTAGCGTGTAAAATGAATACATAAAAAAGTTAACGTGAAAAATAAACGCTTACGATGAGAAGCATAAATATAGGGTATAAAGAAAAAAAAATTGTAAAATGTACGGTAAACGATAGCGAAATAAATAAAAGCAATGCGTAAAATTAATGATAAGGAAAAGAAACAAAAGTAATGCATAAAAAAAAAACGTAAAATAAGTTAATTTATTAATAAAGTAAACGTAGAAAAGAGTACAT